TGGAAAAAAGTGAAAATGAAAAGAGTAATCTTTTGTGGATCATTAAATAATCCAATAAGTTATTAAAGAACGCAAGACCTGACATGTAAAGTAGATGTATGCATACTCAAAGCCGAAACTGCTGGGAGGATGCAAAAAAAAGATGGACTTATTAGCAGTGAATTAAAGGGCTAACTGAAAGGTATATTTTATAATTGATAGTGAGATTTAAAAAAACCTTTAGTTACTTTAACTCCACAGTAAGTTTCTCTACACCTCTAGAAAGCAATTATCTCCTAACTCACGCAACACCACTTAGAGCATGACTTATCGGCACTATGTCCCGCGAAACCTAGTAGCCGCATCGAACCTTCCCAGTGAACTAGTCAGAACGTGGCATCGTAAGTAAACAAGAGTATTTTATGCCAGAAACTCCTTGGAACAGGGTTGCTTTTCGGCAGCTACGTGAGCCGTTGTGACTGTGATTCTCCCTGACCGAACACTCCGCCATAGTCTTTGATTGCGACATCGAATCTTTGTCTGCAACTATTCTTGTTCCATATAAGGTAGTCCGTAACTTACCTTTTTGTTACTTTATACGTGGCCGGCGTACCCTATATAGTAGCACGCAGCCCAAAGACATATTAGTAGTGAGCTATTTAGATTACTAATTGCCTTTGAATAAGAGACTATCTGATTTTCGTTTAACATTATCAGTGAATGAATTAATAATGTGAGAAATAAAGCAAAAAAAAAGGAAAATTAGGCTAATAAGGGTCTTGAAAAGATTTATTTATGTATTGTTAGGGGGACCTTTATTTCGTATGAAAGTTCATGAAGAAAAGATTCGTTGGTCGATCTCACCAGATGAAAACGGATCAATCTCGTTGTACTGCAGCAGTTTGGATTTTATACGATATTCATGTTGACGCAGTCCACAAGACTTCCTCCATCGTTTCAAGTAAAAACGTGCTGAGCTTTCGTCCATCATATGATGGACATCATCAGAGTTGGGTGTCATTCTTGTAAAAGGCTTTGGTTAAAACTAGGCCAAGAAGACTATCAAGCTTTATTTTACCTCTTATATAGACACAGTTGAGGCAAAAGAAAATTAAAAACCAAGATCGGCTAATTATCTTTCAAACAGGTCCAGCTGCTTTTGCTTGAGTGTGAGTGTGTTAGCGTCTATACACAATACCGGTCCTAAATGAGAGTTATTAAAAGGTCAAAGTTAGGCTCTGATCATCAACGCTTAATGACCTCAAATAAAGCCCTGACCGAGACTGCGTAAGTCCGTAAGCAAGTATAGTTAAGATAATGAGATATGAGTTTGTAAGCATGTAAGTCAAGTTACGAAACCACTTGTCCTAACCTCATCATTAACGTTTAACCCTGAAAGGAATGGCATGACTGGGCCTGCCTAAATTGGCACGTCTTGTTTGGTTGATGAGCTTAATCTAACGGAAAGAGACTGCGACCACAAAAAAGGCCACACCATCTTGGTCTTTCGATTAATCTAACATGTCGGACGAGTTTGAGTGAAGTTAGAACCATCACCGAGCAGACATTGAGTGGCATTCTTTTTGACGGCGGCTCAATACCTCAGGACTTAATGACTTAAGAGAAAACCTTAACTGAGACTGCGTAGGTCCGTAAGCAAGTATGGTTGAGATAATGAGATATGAGCATATAAGCATGAAAATCAAGTCACGAAACAACTTGTCTTAACCTCTCAGTCTAGGGCTATTAACGTTTGACCCTCAAGGAAAGGCAAGACTGGGGTTGCGTAATCTGGTACTTGCTTACGGACTTACGCAGTTTCGGTCAGGGCTTTCTTTAACGTCATTGGGCGTTGATGATCAGAGCCTAACTATGACCTTTTGATAACTCTCATTTAGGACCGGTATTGCGTATAGATGCTAACACACACACATACATATTCATGCAAAAGTAGCAGGACCTGTATGAAAGATAATTAGGCAAACCCCTCTATACCGATCTTGGTTTTTAATTTTATTTTGCCTTAACTGAGTCTATATAAGAGATAGTCTTCTTGGCCTAGTGTTAACGAAAGCCTTTTACAAGAATGAAACACAGCTCTGATGATGTCCATCATATGATGGACGAAAGCTCAGCATGTTTTAACCCGAAACTAAGGAGGAAGTCAACATGAATATCGTATAAATTTCAAACGGCTGCAGTACAACGAGTTTCATCCATCCTTATCTTGTGAGATCGACTAACGAATCTCTTCTTCATGCACTTTCATACGAAATGAAGGTCCCCCTAACAATGTTGTCTTAGGAGATTCATCGAAACCACGTTTGTCCTTATATCTCTATTTATGTAGTTGTTATAATGTCAAAAAAACTATAATAACAGTAATAGAAAATACAGAAGACGTGAATAAATGCGGTGGAGTTATCTACCTTACCATAAGGTCCGATGTCAAGCAAAGTGCAGGAGAGTGACGTTCAGGTTTAGCTGAGCAGAATTGAAGCACAGCAGTACGCTGCTTCTGAGCTAATGCTGCATTTATATCTAGTTCATCAATCTGATGAAGACGATTGAGAAGACCTATTAAGGATATAAAGAAATTTTCCGCAAACGGTGATTAGATAAAAGGTGAAATCATGACAGGGAAAAAATTAATAAAGTCACATAATAATTGCAGCTAAAATGTATGCATGAGATATCAGCAAGTTAACAAGATTTTTCCGTAATTTATATTGTTATATATATAATACAGAATAAGGGCAAATTATGGAAATATGAAGAGAGAAAAAACATATAAATGGTTTAAAAGTTGTTTGACCCTGTTTTCGCAACTTGGTCATATTGGTAAGAAGACTTAGAGGAACGTACCTAGCCCGGAGTCCATTGCACACATAATCATTTCCAAAGTCGGACCGTGGACGTGGTACATTCCCAAACGTTTCGCCGGCATCGTAGTCAGCATCGTCAATGAGTTTTGTTATTCGTAGCACCATATTACAACTCGTCAAAGATACAAGTGAATCCGATCCTTTGACCAAACGTGGGCTAAACATTTATGCTATCTCTCCTTCTGTCCTGGCCTATTCACATTTCCTATATCCTCCAATCATGCCCTCATTGTCAAAATCTTTTACTTGCTTTATTAAATGTGGCACGATGTGATCTATTGAGCGGCTTTCATGAGAACCCTCCGCAATCGACGATGGCCTTCATCCTGGTGCTGGGAATGTGGATGAGTCTGCCATATTGTTACGCAGTCCTCCTTCCCAGAAACGTTGTAGTTCAACATTGAACTCAACCAAAGCAAGCATTACCACAACATTAGTGGATTGGCACGCAAGAGACTAAGACATAGGAAGTCATAGACACGTTTGGTTAAAGGATCGGCTTCTTTTTTCTCTTTGAAGAGTTTTAATATGGTGCTACAAATGGCAAAATTCACTGACAATGCCGACTACAATACCGGCGAAACGTCTGGGAATGTACCATGTCCACGGTCCGACTTTGGAAATGAACAAAGAAGACGACTAAAAATAGTCGTGTTTGATCATAGAAGTGATCCATAGAAGTGAATCACGACTATTGTTAGCTAACTAGCTCTAGCTTCCACTGCTTCTATCCTTTTTCTATCTATGATACTAAGTCTATGACTTCCTAGTCTGTGTGCCAACCCACACATTGTACCTAACCAAAGCAAGCAGTATCACAACATTTGTGGGCTGGCACACAAGAGAAAGGGCATGACAAGTCTTAGACTTGCTATTATAGATAGTAACAGGATAGACGCGGCGGCGATGGGAGCTAGTGGGTTGACAGTAGGCTTTATAAGAGACGTAGCGTGACCATGAGACTTACTCAGAGGCTTTAGTCTCGAATTAGTCACCCAGCCGCAGAAGAGAGTAATAACACCTCGAATAGCAGATAGAGAGAAATAGTTGAACTAGAGAAATCGCAGATGGATTCTACGGGCAAGAGATTGTGGTAAGACCTAGGGAAGGAGGACTGCGTAACAATATGGCCGACTTTCATCCACATTCCTAGCACGAGGATGGAGGGGGGTGAAAAGGCCAGTGTGGAGTGCGGAGGGTTCTCATGAAAGCCGCTCAAAAGGACACACCGTACCACATTTAATTAGGCAAGTAAAAAATTGTGACAGCAAGGCGTGATAGGAGGATATAGGAAATGTGAATAAGCCAGGGCAGAAGCGGAAATACCATAACTGTTTAGCCCACGTTTGGTCAAAGGATCGGCTTCATTTGTTTCTTTGATGAGTTGTAATATGGTGCTACGAATGATAAAACTCACTGACGATGCCGACTGCGATGCCAGAGAAACGTCTGGGAATGTACTACGTCCACGGTCCGACTTTGGAAATGATTAT